CAGAGCCTAACAACAGCCGAACATCGGCCTTCCCGCATCGACATATCATGGCAACCACACTATGCACGCTCCTCTCGCATATTCAATCAATAACAGCACTATATAACCGACAATGGCCGTCAGCATCTTCGTTGCCGATGTCGTCGTCGTCATTACTGCCTCCTTTGATGTTGTCGTCGCCATCACCTTGAACGCCGTCGCTATCGCAGCTACTACTAGCAACGTTTCCAAAAACAGTTAACCATCAATTTAACGATGATGATAGGTATTTTTTTCTTTTCTAATTCAGAGCAGTAACAGTGACCTTCTACGTGTTTATGCTTTCTGATGCGTTTAACTTCCCCAATATATAGTTCAAATAATTATTATGCTATTTTTTTCTTTTGTTTTGCTTTTCCCCTTATATGAAAACAGTTCAATACCACTTAGTGCGCGATTCATTATTCAAATTTCACATTCATTTGTTGTATTCATCAACCAAAATAAAAGCATTAGTTTCTTCTGAATGGCATAAAATAACAAACAAAAAAGCGGACATATTCATAACCTACGAAGGAAACTAAGCAAAAAAAAAGCGCAAAGAAACTTCTTCTGTTATTTTTTCTACTGTTTCTTCGATCTTCTGTCTGAAACTATGTCTAATCAAAAGATGTTTTAAAAATACATAAATCACAGCTAATTATTAATCTATCGGTTAAAAAAAGAATTTTTTCTTTTAATTTGAAATTTGACGATACATGGGGCCGTATTTTGACTGATATACAATGAGATGCATGAGATACTGAAAGTACCAACTTATATACAGTGTGGTGTTTACAAAAATTCATCTATACACTTCATCACACTTTCAAAGAACATCCAATGGGCAAAAAAAATGCAGCAAAATGTTAAAAAAATTCTTCAATATTTACCGGACAAAAATTTGCATATTCTTTTCTTTGAAAGTATCACGTCAAAAGGAAAAGCAAGCAGTAGCGGCAGAAGAAGAAGGCGACGACGACGACAACAAAAAATGGGAGGTAAAAAATTTCTTAGTTGCGGTGGAAAACAGTGTTAGTTGCTTACAGAGTTTCACCATTCAGTGAACACCAGTTACATTTTACATTGAAAAAAAAAAGTTAAGTCAAAAAAAAAAAAAATAAAAGGAACAGACAATTTTCTATTAGAAGTTGAGGAGAAAACTAAAAAATATACAAGCTTTTTTAAAATAAAAACAAAAATTATTTATAGGTGAGGCGAAAGAAAAAAAAGAAAGCCCAAACAAAATTCAACCTCATTAGAGAGAAAAGTTTGTTTTTTTTTTTCGGCAAATGTATATAGTACTAAGACGGAGGATAAAATTCAAAGCATAAAAGTACATACATGAAGTGCAACAATAGCTTCTAACATTTATAAAACATTAATCTCATAATTCTGCCTTCTATAATCACCGTTCAGTTTCGATTGATTTTCTCGGTTTTTTCCATTCCCTTTCCCCCTTTCTACATTTTTATTTATTTCATTTTTGGAGTATAACAGTAAAAGATGGAAAGAACAAGAAAGTTAGAAGGAAAAGAGAGAAAGTAAAGATGAACAATAACAGCGAAATGTTTTACAGACTTTGTTTATAACTGCTGCCTTTGCAGTACCAAATTATTTCAACAATTAAACCAATAAAAAACTTCATGTGTTGTTAATATGTATAACCATTAAATCGACTAATAAAAGTTAAATGGCAATTCAGAAAAAACGTGCGAGCAATGTTAATCAACAAAACAAGGGTAAAATTTTCAAAAAAGCTGCACAAGTCGTCCCCTTCTCATTTTTTATTCTTTCCCCTCCCTCCTAAGCATAAAAAGAATGTTTCGTATTTGATATGACGGTATACACAACTTTTTTCATTCCTATTGAAGAATATTTGTACCCTGGCAGCTGAATTGCCATTCGCAGCTACCAAAAATATATGAAAAAATCAAAAACTTAATTTTTCCAAAACACCTTCAGATTTGAATAGACTTTCTGACTGTTAAATTGATAACTATTTAAAAACACTCAAATAGCCATTATTTAAAAAGCTAATCATTTATCGGATTATCTAAACGTAATATTAGCAGTTTCAGTTATAACTAGTTATAACAGGCAAAAAAAAGAAGATTCTCAAGTTGGTGGGAAAAAAGCATTTTTGTTTGTTATAAACGCTTAGCTTTTACACTGATAGGAAATTTCATTAACAAAGCCTAACCTGATATTTGCTTTTACCAGTAAACAAATTGAAAACCCTACATCGGCTGAATTCTGCAAACGCACAAAAATATGACAATTTAATCAGTGAATATCTTTGTATATCTTTAGTTCCATTATCGTTTGCTGATCTGATGAATCATATCGCCTTACTGCCTGCAAGCAGTCCGTTTTTATGTGTCGGAAAAAATGAAGATGATGTACAAAAGTAAATAAAAGTTTTAAAACTAAACTGTATCACTTTCTAGTTGTAGAAATTGTACTTGTTAAAAACAGAGAAAACTGAATGATTCCTTGCAATACAAATCGAAGTGAAGTCAATCTACATGAGCTGCAGAAGTTTATGATGTAAAAAATTGGCAAAATTACTTGGGCTTTGAAAATCAGTAGTTAAAAAAAAAAAAAACCTGCTATAATTACTACTCATCCAAGGCATTTCCAAGAGCATTCACAAGAATATTGGCGGAATGCATCATAATTTTTAAAAGCAAATCAACAACTTCTTTTAAAGTGATTCCTTTTGCTTCTATTTCGTTTGCTGTATCTTCCTCAACAGTCATATTTCGTTGTCCTGAATCGCCACAAAATCCAATTTCAAAATCCGAATGAGGATAGCCGCCATCACTTTCCAGTGATGTATTGTATTCTTGACAATTCTAAAATTCAAAATACCATCTCAGCCAATGAATAGTTCATGTAAATGAACGTGAAAGATTTTTTTTTTTAAGAAAGAATTTTTACAATTAAATATAGCAGTCAAAATAGCATAATCCAAAAACCAACCCGTAAATAAAGTTGCAAAGCATTTCTGTTGTTGATATTTTCGTCCACCAATGCTACCACTGACTGTCGATAGCATAAAATTTCTTCGTTAAGCGAATTCACCAATCGGCCATGAAGTAGCCTCAGTTGATCGTCAAGAACTTCAAGCATCACACTGTTGTCCTTGATATGGCTTGCTTCCATTCTCGCTCAAATATTCATAAAAGTTTAATTTGACTCCAAAAGAGAAAACTGTTATGTATCAACGATTATAAACCAACAACCTATATAATCCACAGTTCCATCATTTCTATTGATATTTATTGCATCATTTCGAGCAGTAAGTCATAATTATTTCAAGACAACAAATGAACCTTCTCTAGTAACAATGGGATTTTTTTAACCACTGTTTGGGCTAACGGTAAGGCGGAAAAAGAGAGGAAAAAAACATTTTGCCTGCAGTTGTAAAATTTCAACTAGTTTAAACACATTTCTTCTTCGGTATTTGTGTGAATTTTCTAGACACTCTTATTTTCTGGACAGCCTGACAACTTCTGATATTAGACTATTAGACAACAAAACAATACTGATACAACTGAGCCAACCGAACAATGGTACCAGTCGTTCTGTGGCTAGTCCACAGTAGCCGTGCTATGGCAGGCAGTTCCGTTATCTTTGCCTTAGGGAACGAATACACCGTTGAGCTGAGTGGTGTCCAACCGAAATGCTGCGCTGAAAAGGTAATAAGCGAAGAGTTTCAATGCTTAAGGCAGACTTCTAGCAATTAATTAGCATTGGCTACTGTAGTTGAGCTAAATTAGTTCACTAACAGTTCATAAGAGACAGATTAAGAAATACTGATGATTTTTTGCTCGAACAGATGCCATTATCAGTTGCTAAGTATTAATTTATTCTACTTACCTATTCTGCATTCAAAATATACTTTTCACTTCTTTTTTTTTTTTTGTACCAACCAATAACTTGACGTATCAGTTAATTCATTTTTTCTTTTTTTATCAGCTTTGTTGAATAAGTTTTTCTTTTTTTGATCTCCATTTTATCAATTTATCAATCCGTCATTCATTTTCTGCTCTCCTTTTTTTTTTTTTGCAAAG